CCACATTGAGTCGCCCGACCAATTCAGGTCTCATATTGGATAAGAGTCCAGTAGTAACCTGGATGTTCCCGTAATTGGGTCAAATTGGTCCTCGCGTCAGATTGGCTAAGACCCATAATAAGACCTGGATTTTCCGTAATTAGACTGCATTGGGTTGACAGGCCAATTCAGGTCTCATATTAGATAAGAGGATCCGGATTGGATTCTCGAAATTGGATCCAATTGGCTCTTCGAACCCATCGTGTGAATTGGCCCTTCTCTTCCTGCTGACTCTCGTTATTGGAATCGAACGAAGCATTTCAGTATGCCCCGGCTGACTGTAACGGAGCGACTGAACCTGACCACTCAGTATTTGCACTGGAGTTGGTCGATGCTCCCAATATTCGAGGTAACTGAATATTAATAAAATTCCCCTTTCTTTTTATTTTTCACTGTATACTCGTGTTACAACACGATAACGGAAGTTCATGCTTGGTCAGAAGTCGAAGGCGTGGGCCACTACTATTGGCTTCAAGGGTTTATGAACCACTTGCCTCGTGAACAACAGTTGGAGTTCATAGCAGAAGTTATGCGATAGATCTTCATTTTCTTGCGTTGGTAATGATCAACAACATTGCTTCTCAGAGACCTCGAAGCTAAAGGAGGGAGTGATGTTAGGGACATATTCCTTAGAACTTTCTAGAGAGAAGTTTCTAAAACCTTTTAGAAAACAAGCCTCTGGAACCTTCTAGAAGAGAAGCCTCTGGAACCTTTTAGAGAGAAGTTTCTAGAAGCTTCTAGAAAGGAAGTCTCTGGAACCTTCTAGAAGAGAAGTTTCTAGAAGCTTCTAGAAAGGAATCCCCTGAAACTTTCTAGAAGCTTCCTAGTTAATAAAAGTAGCTCGAGAAGTTTCTAGAACCTTCTAGAAAGGAAGCCTCTGGAACCTTCTAGAAGCTTCCTAGTTAATAGAAGTAGCTCGAGAAGCTTCCTAAGTAGGAGTATATATAGGGATCGAGGCTGAAGAGTTCTTCAGTCTCGACAACACATCTCTTGGAGTTCTAGCTCACCTTTCTGGTGTTGTTGTTGTACTCATCTGTTTAATCTAATTCTGTCACTTCTTCTTGAACTTCTTGTTAGATTTCAAGTCTGTATTTTGTGTCTGTGACATCTGAATGGTGGTTGAGCTCTTTCTTGCAAATCAATTGAACAATAATAAAGTCGATGCTCTGGAAGAATATTTATATTCTTCTTTTCAAAAACATCTCAAAAATCTTGATATTGGTTAGGAATACCACTTGACGTCTTTTCACTATTAGAAATGGATGTAGCATATATAACAAAAGATGATCTTTCTTTTGTAGCATGCATGAAAGCTCTCACATCTACTAATAAAGGTTTGGATGTAGTAGACTTTTGTGCTTCTACTTCACTAATTTGATCTTGGATTATACTATCAGAAAAGTTAAGGTTACGAAAGATTCAATCTATTTGAATATTATATTTTTTTAGCCGCAATAATTCTAAATTACTAGATTAAAAGGAGATCTCATTATATTAAATACTACTACGCTGCAATGATCTTTAATTTTAATATTTAAAAGAACAGTTTCATGGATAACATTTCTAAAAGATAACAAATGACCATCTATGACTTCTACATGTACTGATTTAGTTTTCTTGATTAAAGATATTTTTTAATTTTTGACAAAATCTTTGTCTATAAAATAGGCTGAGGCTCCTAAATCTAATAAGGCAAAATCTTTGTGATTTTTAGGTCCTAAACACTCATCTATTATAAAATAAGATGAGGGGTCTAAGGAGAGAATATGACCTTTGTTAGATATTACACATGATTCCGGCCACATGGTTCTTATTGTAGTTGAAAAAATTTGTTTATCGACACATTATCTTCTTTGGTAATTGTGCTCCTCATTTTGTAATTGTGTTGCTTCTTTAGACAATGTTGAGTAGTATGCTTAGCTTCTCCACAATATAAACATTAACTCTCTTGGCAATATCGAGTCTTTTCCTACTTTGTGAGAAGTTTAAAACATATCGTATTGATTTGCATTGATTTCAACCTTGATAAATACGTTTTCAAAAACTAAGAAGTTGTTACCATTACTTGAATTATTCCTCTCGAGCCAAGTCTTTGTTTTTGATATCTTTCAAATAATCAATTATTGCATGCAATGGCTTGAGCAATAAGTTGTTCCAAAGATTTTGCTTTTAGTATTGTTAATAACAAATCTTTGACACTGTCCTTCAATCCATATTGAAATTGATTGATAAGTGCTTTGTCATTTCACTCTACATTATAAGCTAGATTTTAGAATTCAGCAGCATATGTGGTGGTTGATCGTGAACTTTGTCATAAAGATAAGAATTTAGTTTCTACTACTTATTCTTGATCACTTTCTATGAATGTGGTCATAAATACTTAGAATACCTCTATACATACAAATTTTGTGGCATTTAAATACTTAGTTTGTGAGAAATAAATAAATTTGCATGTTGGTGTATATAAACTAGGATTTGAAGCTACTATTAGGATTTTGGTGATATTTTAAAATCCATAATGAATTTGTAGTTGAAATTTGTTGTGGTAGTTGTTAGAAGTACATCAGTATTTCAAGTAAAATTTGAGTGTATTCGGACAGTCCAATTGGAAGATATAAGTTTTTGAAGTTCGGGAATAATACTCCACAAGGATATATAAAGATTTAGAGTTTTTATTTATCATATTTTGGATGTTTTTGGGAACTCAAGACTTATATATTTAGTATAATTGCTCCTAAAAGTGTTATATATATATATACAAACTTGATCTTTTTTATCCTAAGACTTGATTGAGAAATTAGTCACACCAATGAGTCCAATGCTTTCTTGAGGCAAATTCTCTCTACCTCGGCAATGTGATCATTGCTCCTTATGGAATTCACCTTTAGAAGGGAAGGTAATATCATAGACATATATTTACTATAATTATCACCTATGTCATATGAATAGATAGAAATAGATAAAAATAGATTAATTTCATAATATCTTTAAAAAAAAACTTTTTAAAAGCTTTATAGAGGTTGCTTTGACTTTATATGTCTTTATAATTGATTGATAGATTAGAAACTTGATCATCAAGTTCACCATATGCCACACTTATTGGTAGCTTAAGGAACAAATTATCTATGTGGTTTCTATATAAAAAACTTGCCTTACAAGTTAAGATATGTGTTGCACAAAGTCAACATGTTTTGGAAATCTTATAGAATATTGCTATGTAGCTCCTAGGTAAATAGTATATATAGAGGTAAGAATAAAGCCTTCTTCACTCTTTTCAACTCTTTTCTTGCTTCTAATCTAATTTCAAGAGTCTGTAGTTTTTTTGACTTTTGGCAATAATTATTTTACTTTCTTTTTAATATACATACTTCCTTATTTTTATTTTGTCATACTTCTTTGAGAAAGTCTCACTTATTTATTTCTTTATATCAAGTTCTTATCCTTGATACCTACTTCTATTCAATTCTATTTATTTCTATTTACTTAGATAATATATGATTTTATTGTAATTATTATAATATAAAATAAAAATATTTAATTTTAAATAATAATTGAACCACTCATATCTTCACACAATTAAGATAAAAATCAAATTTTATTTTGGTGTTAAAAAAAATATACTCTAAAATAATCAATTACCAAATCTAAAGTTAAGTAAGAGATATATCCCTTTGACTTAATTTGTGAATTTTATTTTATTTTATTATCTTATATTTATCACAACCTTTGTATTATCTATAGTTTTTCAATCAATATATAAAAAATTTCTTCTTTTGAGAAAATTTATAAATTTTAATTCAACCACAAGTTTATATTTTAAAAATTAATTGGATTATCTTGATCTAATCTTGTTTAAGTTGAAATATAGCATTTATAACCAAAATCAATTTTTTCTTTATACATGAATTTAGTTACAAAAAAAAAAAAAAAAAAAAAAAAAAAAAAAAACTTTACATGAAATCAATTTTTTGTTAAGATACTACATGAATTGAATTAAAACAACAATAGAGTAGTTTTTTTTTTTGGTTTGAAAAAATAGGTGAGTATCACAGGTTCTCATCACACAGTTCATCCATTGTTTCATTATATTCTCATCACACAGTTCTTATTTTCTTATTCATGCTAGCTTTATTTTATGTTTGCAACATCCCATTTTCATATACAAATATGGAGGCGAACATTTTGATTATGCATATTAAGTACACTGGACATTGCACTAACTGCCTGCACCAAAGAAATCTAGGACTACCACGTCCAAAATGTAGTTCATCCAGCGAGTAGTTTATTATCTGTGGACATAATCATCCATCCTAATAGACAATTTTCTGAACCTTTTCACGTCTGCGCCGTCAAACCGCGAGCACCTTGCCGATGTTGCATGATCTTCGCAAATGGCTAGATTTATATTTGAGGGTCTCGTAGAGTTTGCGGGAAACATGTCGCAGGAAACCGAAGTTGGTCTTTCGAGATCCGGAGCTTCGGCAATCCATTCACACTTGGTTTCTGCGCTGCGGTGCGACAAATTCGCTCGCTTCGGAAGAAACGGTGCGGCAAGTAAGAAGATGTTTCGCATGCAGCATCCCGTTCCGTCCACTTTGCTGGGTTACTTGTCACTGCAGGAGTTAAAACGACAGGTCGCCTGCAGCATCCCAACGTATCGAACCCCCATGGTTATCGCAGAAGATGCTCGAAAATGATTCGCTCAAAGAATTCCTTCGTGTCGAACGCGCGAGTTAGTTATCGCGGTTGAGAACCGACAAAGGACTGCCTCCAAATTCTATCGTGTCGAATTTCCAGGTCATGACAGCAAGCCCTCCAGACCGTCCAATACCAGCTCTAATATGAGTGGAAAAGGTTCGTTGGGCTTGCATGGTTGGTTTGTTAGGAATGTGCCGTGGTGGGCCCTTAGAGTGCCACATAGGAGAAGAATCCGTTAGAGATGTGGGGTCCAGAACGTCATGCATCTACAATGGTTACTGCTGTCATTTCACGGGGGGGTGAAGCTGAGGGCAATTCGCTCTAACCTCCAAGTTCAGTCTATAGAATTCCACGTTTAGGGTGCACCTCTTGGGACCAACCTTAGTCCAGAGCAACAATATTGAATTGCCTGTGTTAGGTTTTGAGGCCACGAATCCGCTTTGGAAAGAAAGGAAACAAAGATGATAAATCAGCAACAAAATTCGGCAAATCCTAACCGAACCCTAAATTTCTAGTTTGGACGAAGTATGGATCCGGATTTTCTGCTGGATTCCAGGTTATTGACGATCCTCGCTGGTTTAAAACTCCGGATTCGGCAGTAATTCCTGGCTCAATGAAGCTTCAGTGGAAGCTTCATTAAAATTCGGTTCAGGATGCAACCAGGTGGCGCGTCCTTCCTAGCTAAGTAAAATAGAATTTCCAAATGGCCCACTATTTACATTTATCTTGACCAGTCTTTCCCATACAGTATCACACCTCCGTCCAAAGCAGAGAGCGATCGGAATCCCGCATATCAATATTCAGCTGATTGATCAATCTTACAATATCGACCTTTAACACCCATTAGAACTTGTTTTATGACCTCATTTTAGCTGTATCGGTGCAGTGTCGGTTTGGAGTTCATGAGCGTCTTGCTGTTTGTTTCCGAGCACGATCTCATTTCTTGAGGAGTCTACGGAGTGCTTATTCGTTTAAATTGTGAGCTTCTCTAAAGTATTCGTGAATCCTTCGCGGGAAGGCAGAAGAAGCGACAGAGAGGAGGAGCATCATGGGCAAAGACTTGGATGCCATCGAAGTGCACGGCTATGCCGCCAAGGACACCACAGGCCAGCTCGTCCCCTTCAAATTCACATGCAAGTATGTGATTGTCCATGAATGTCTTGTCGTTTCGCAATGGAACGATTCAGTGAGTTGAATTACGGTGCGGGGGGTGACTGTTTTATGCCATTTCCTTCCATTCTATACGAATATGTGTTGGTCTCTTATCTGCAGTGGTCTTTGGATTGATGTGTTCAGGCAACCCAGTCCAGAGGATGTAGCGTTTAAGGTCCTATACTGCGGTATTTGCCATTCTGACTTGCACCAAATTCGAAACGAATGGCAGAATGCCAAATACCCTATGGTACCTGGACACGAAGTCATTGGCACAGTGACGGATGTCGGGTCGGAGGTGACGAAATTCAAACCCGGCGATACAGTTGGAGTAGGATGCATGGTAATGTCGTGCCGTAACTGCGACTCCTGCGAGAAAGGGTTGGAGCAGTTCTGTGACAAGGTAGTGTGGACTTACAACTCCGAACTTCCTGACGGCACCACCACCCAAGGAGGATACTCTTCTCACATCGTCGCAAACGAGAATTATGTGCTGCGGATTCCAGACAACCTTCCAAAAGATGCAGCAGCGCCTCTGCTATGCGCCGGAATTACAGTTTGGAGTCCAATGCAGTACTTTGGTTTGAACGTGAAGGATGCCAAATTCGGTGTCGTAGGCTTGGGCGGACTGGGTCACATGGCTGTGAAGTTTGCCAAAGCGTTCGGCATGCACGTTACCGTCTTCAGCACCTCCCCGAACAAGGAGAAGGAGGCGCGCAATATTTTGGGTGCGGATGACTTCGTAGTGAGCAAAAACGAGGATGCCATGAATGCCAAGGCAAAGTCCATCGATTTCATCATCGACACGATTGCGGCGAAACATGAGCTTGGCCCGTATCTCACAACACTGAAAACCAACGGAAAGTTGTGTCTCGTTGGCATGCCTGAGCACGCACTGGAGGTTAGCCCCGTACAGCTCGTAACAGGGCGTAAATTGGTGGCCGGCAGTTTGATCGGTGGCATTCAGGAGACTGCAGAGATGTTGGAGTTTTGCGGCAAGAACAACATCTCTTGCATGGTGGAGACGGTTCCGGTGTCAGAGTGCAACACAGCTATGGAACGTCTAGCAAAGAATGACGTGAAGTACCGGTTTGTGTTGGACATGAAGAACATTGCATAAAGTCGCATCTCCTGAGTAGAAGTTCCAGTATGTGAGAATACCATGCCAATTTAAACTGTGATTGAAACTATTATGAAAGTGAGCCGGTTCACGAAGAGACACAATCTTCTGGAGCGTGACACCCTCAGTTCATGTGCACGATTCACAACCATTATCAAGGAAAGTTGGAGTGGTTAACGGATAGAGAGTTTAGAAATATTTCGTACTGAAATCCTAGTGCAGGGAAGCTGAAGTATGTGAATAATGATAGGATAATATAAACTGAGGCTGCAATGTTGGTCATCAAATCGGATTTCTTGGTATATAGTGAAGTGCTTCCATATTTGTGCTGCAATTGCCCATGGTTCATGAGTCTTCTCATCTTCTTCTCCTGTCGAGAGCTTGAGTTGATTTTACGATTAGAGTCCCTGTTTGTGGCATAATTCCATACCGAGGAATTTCTGATACCGTCTGGGAACCGTCCTTGAAGATCCATTTTCTTGTGCACAAATGCGTGAAAAGAAGAGCTTGCGGAATTTCATAACCGCCACAAAATGTAGATGTGGATACGACTGCTCTCGATTCCCACGTCCTAGAACATCCACTTCTCTTCGTCCGGCTGGTTATACAACATCTATGCTCTCAAGCTCATCAAGCTCATCAAGCTCATCGTCATCAAGCTCACTTGTTCTTGTACTTCGAGCCTCATCGACCCCTTCACGAGCTTGAACGTCATCCTGTGCGGTCCATGCAACGACGTGAGGCGACTATGACATAGAGAGATGTGTCGAGTGGGATGAAACTAGCGGATTGCAGTGCCGGCGGCTGGCAATAAACGCCTTTTCGGCGCAGTTGTGGATGTTCGTCATTGAAGGCAGTTTTCACTGGTCTGTTGCCCTACTCAAACTCATCTTTTAGTTTGTCTTCTTTAAGGATTCGCACAAGTAGTTCTGTATGCATAAAAAACCAGGAGCTTGTCCAGAATCACGTCATAAGAAGACACGGCCATCGCCACAAGAGACAATGGATATCGATGACGGAACACCTCACTAATGATCTGGGAATCGAAGCTGTTTATATCATGAAACACGCAGACAGACACAACCACATTGTGAGAAGCTTACTACAGCAGTTGTAAGCATTACAATCAAGAAAAATCATCTAGACAACAAATTAAAAAATTGTCATGTTTTGCCAGAAATTATTAAAGTCCACTTTAAATCATCACAAATAGACAGAAAAATTCTACATCAAGCACCATGTACAAGTTTTTAGGACCTTATTGATATTTATATCACTTTTGTATATATTTTTAGAATCCTATTAAATTTCCGAAAACCTCCTACAAGATATGATAACCATTTATGATTTTTTAAAAAGGTACAAACATTATATAGTCTTTCAAAAAGTTTTATAGTCTTATTTAGTCAGTTAAAAATATTCTTTAGTCCTTCAAATTTTTCAATCAAAGATTCTTTAAGCTTTTAAAATGTTTAAAAATCTCTCAAAAACTTAGAAATTTTATAAGACCTAATTGCTACAAAATTAATTAAGAAACACATAAGGCATATCATATTCTTGAAGATGCAAGTTTCAAAACAATATAAAAAGTTCATGATTCTTAGTCTTATATCTCTTTATGATTCTAATCTAAAATCTTCTTATAAACCATATGTTTTATGGTCTTTGTTTTGTAGCTTTCGAAAAGAAGCTAAAAAATAAAAATCTAATATTTATAGTATTAAGATATTATTTTTTATATCTAATATATAAAAGATTTTAAAATATCTTACTTCAAAAGAATTTTTTTATTTTAGAAATATATTATTGTTTTACAATTATTCATTAAATATTTGTTGAAGTTTCTTTAAAAAATTAATTTTTATATCTTATATTTTATATTTTTTAAAATATCATAATATATATAAATATATATATATATATATATATATATATAATTATTTTAAATACATTATATAAAATATCTTTTTGTTTTTAAATGGATAAATGATCTAATTATGCTTACTACTAATATGCTAAGAATGTAGTGATCCATCCTAGAGTATGTTGTAGGGTATGGTGCCACCATAAGTATTAAATTTAGAAGGATGTTTTGGAGGATTTGGCTTTCCATTCAAGTCCTATGGTGTTTAAATATTCCAAAAACAAATGGTCAAGTGAGGAATTATTAATGGAATGTCTCAAATTTGAATCCAGTTGGAAAAAACAAGCTATTCCAATGAGCTAGTACTAGTGCAAGAAAGATCAATAATAAACATCTAAAGAATATGTATTACGGACATACATAGGTATTATAGTAAATATCTATATGATTAAATAGGAGTAGATAAAAATAGATTAATTTTATGAGACCTTTTAGAAAAGCTTCTTAGAAGCTTCATAAACACTGTTTGATTTACATATATTTGTAGTTGATTGATAGGTTAGAAACTTGGTCAATAAGTTAACCACGTGTTGATAGCTTGCGGAACAAGTTAACTATGTGGCGCACATATAAAAAACTTACCTTGCAAGTTAAGATACGTATCTTACAAACTCAAGACGTTTTGGAGGTCTTATAGGACATTGTCACGTAGCTCCTAATTAAGAATATATATAGAGGCAAGAGTGAAGCCTTCTTCATTCTTGTCAATGCCTTTCTAGTATTTAGTCTTGTTTCAAGACTTTTTAGTCTTCTTGTTTTTGGCAATAGCCATTTTAGTTCAATATTATATCATCTTTGAGTAATTTTTTAGTTCTTTTTAATGATATAAGACTATATTAAGGATTTTTTTTCCTTGAGATTTATGTCCTTGAGAATATATAAGCTTTGTAAGGCTTGATGTCATACGTTTTTTAGGTTGAAAAAGATTCTAAAGTATTAATTTTCTTTATTTTTTTAATTATCCATTCCTTAAAGCTTTTGTCAAAAGATAGATTTCAATTTCTTTTGTCTTCCGTAGATAGTGCTCTAGAACAATCCAACTTAGTTAAAAAAATTATGTGACTATAGCTTACTTCTTTTGATCTTTGAAAAAATTTAAAACTTTTGTAGCCAAGTTACTTTAAAAGTAGTAGATTTTAAATAGTCCATACTAGGTTCTTCTCTTTTGTAAGTTATTCCAGATGATTGCCATATATAAATCATACAATTGACTAATATTATTAGTACAAAAATAATACTTAAGATACTTAAAATTAATAATTTAATAAATTAATATAGAAGTTTGGAGATAAATAGCAAAAATAAGAGTTTAAATACAAGACTAGGTCCTTGGTAGGATTTTAGAGGAAGAATTTTAAAATAAATACATTATTTCTTAATAGAGCCTATATAGATTTATAATAATATCTTTTATGATTGAATTATTTTATTACAAGTTAAATAAATTAGAAGTGGAAGATAAAATTGAAGAGGTTAATTTATTGAAAAGAAAGAAAGACATATAGAAAGAATAATAAGAAAGTAGAAAAAAAAAAAAAAAAACAAAAAAAGAAGGAAAAAAGTAAAAACATTGATAAAGACAAGAAGATACCTTTTAATTTTGTCTCATAAAATGTTGCTACTTATCATCACCAAAATTGTGCTAAGAGCAAGAAGTAATATTACTTGTTGTCACCAAATCCATGCTATAAAAGAAAGTAACCAATGGTAGAATTCCATTTGTGCAATTTGGGTGAAACTTGGGATATTTATGTAGCTCCGGCAACCTTCATATTGTGTGACTTTGGCTCTCATTCCAATTCCAAACTTGTCAATAGTAACATTTTGAAACATACAAAGTATCGAAAAGACAACCACAATGATAGTAGATTAATTTCCATCAAGATAAGAAGATCTTAATGGATTTTTATTTAATATTGAATTGAATTATAGGCCAATGATGGTAGTTCATAGGCAAATTAAAGTAGTTTCAAAACAAAGGTGTTGCTAAGGTGTAGATATTAAATGCACATCAATTCAAGGTGATAGTTACTAAATTATACTTTCCAATTCTAATTTATAGTCAATTATAAAAAATCACCAAGTAGTCAATATCCTCCATAATCTTATGCCACTACTAGATCAAGTGCCACCACCAAATTAATTGTAGAAGAGATATTATTTACAAATGATTTTTGTGTCAATGAATGAATTTAAAATGGGATAAAATAAACAATAAAAAAATTAAACTAACAATAAGAAAAAGAATTTTTTTAGACATGTATTTTGTAAAGAAATTACTATTGTGAGTGTGAATTAATGGTAGAGATTTTGTTTAATAATTTAGGATTTTGAAGAAGATTAAAAAGTGATTTTATTAGGATTTAAGCAAGAATTATAATTTAATAAATTTATATGCTAACTCACTTGCTATGAACTAGAATAAACTTCTAATTAGTAGAGGTTTATTTTACCTTATATCTTTAAAGGGGATTGATAAGTTCTCTCAATCATTGATAGTATTTTATATTAAAGCAAGAAGACCACCTAATTATTTGATCATTGATGATGCTTTTGTAATTCCATTCAAATAAAATATTTGAAGTACTATCAAGAATCATTCATACCACCAATAAAATCATCAAACATTGAGAGTCTCTTTCGATATTGTGATATTAAATGTATTGTGTCTTACTATTTATTCAAAGAAGAGCATGTTATTTTTAAAGATCTTTATTTTTGTTAAGTTTTCTTGAAGGCTATGACAATCGCAATGTCTTATTTTGTAGTCAGCAAATTATAATTTTTTTTATTTAAATCTGTTGGTTGTTGATTCTCTATTTTTTTAGTGCCACAAATACATAAAAATTACAAATAAGAATAGAAGGTAGAATGCTATCTTTCTTGGATTTTTTTTTTTTTATAACAAAGTTTTGTTATTCTTTTTTTTAATTTTGATGGATGTTGTTAATGAAAATCATCAATCTTTTTTATTACATTTGCAAGATTCTATGTTGGCTACTATACATATTGACTAATATCATATTTTTACCAATAAACAAGATATTCCAACTAACTTTGGAGCCACCTCAAATCTAAGACTTCTTGTACTTTAAATTCTTAATTATTATCTACTTCTACAAGAAGAAGTTGTATTTGTCTTCTTTCTAAAATATTCACTATCTTATACAATTTAAAAAGAGATACATAGAATATGAGATAGATATTTATAGACTCCTATAAATATAATTAATAAGTAACTAAATTGATTTGTTTACAAATAGAAAATAGTCCAAGCCTATTGTAATCCAACTTGTAATTAGAGAGGCTAGTTTTGATATTGCAATGAAGTAATCATATCTTTTATCAACGAGTAATTGAAGTTGTTCTTTGCAATAGACATCTACCTTGGTCTTTTATTATTCTTAAGC